TCTTGTTCTCAACCGTTCTTGCACATCCTCAGCCCCGGACGCCGTCCTGCTGTTGGGATATCCAAAAGGCGGCTGGGAGGGGGCTGCTTCACAGCTCTGGCCGAATGCTACTGCTATAGGCTGTGTGGTGCTAACACTCGTGCACTTTGGTCCGGTTTATGCCCCTCTCTGTATCTCTCTCCTCTCTTCGTCCTTGGCCAGGTCTGGCTGAGGCCATGGCAGGGAAGGGAGTGTTCAGATTACCTGAGAGTGGCCACAGAAAGCAGCAGCGCCACTAAGGCTGTGCAGGTCTCACACAATATTACTGTCACCACTGGGGGCCCAGAAACCGGACAAAGGAAAAGCTGGCCCTTCTTCGTGGGACAGCATGCGCCTTCAAGCCCTCAGCATGTATCAGTGAATGCCGCGAGTGCCTTGAGCACGGATATTCCCATTATTCCCAGTCATGACGTGACATCCACCCGGCCCTCCCAACTGGGCCCCGGGCTTTCAGAGCAGCGCCCTCTCGCGCGGCAGCTGAACATGCACGGGAAAAACCTGGGCGGCGCCCACATGTCGCTCCGCGTTCCTGCGCTAGGCTTGGCTTCTTTTGAAACGGCTCTGTTCGGAGAAGGCACATCCTCTAAAGGAAACCTGGGTTTCGGGCCGCCAGAACAAAGCCGTGCCAGGAGAGAAAGAGAGAGAGAGAGAGAGAGAGAGACACAGAGAGAGAGGCGGACGCGGCCACCATCCTGTGGCTCCTTAAACCCATGTGACTTCGAACATCTCTTTTCGGCCCTGTGAACCATGTCTGTTCGGTCGCGGGGTTGCCGCTCGCATCTGCTGGCACTGAGCATCCGTCACCATTCGGGAAGCCTTGTGGAACCTTCGTGGCTTATCTCTCTGCGTCTGCGGACAAGACACGGATCAGGAGCCAAAAATGGGCACTCCTTGTAGCTGCAGCTGCCACATTGCACATGTCAGCCCTTTTTGCAGTGCATGGTGACATGGTGTGGACATGCCGCTGATATGGCCCGATTTGGAAACCACTGCTGCTCGCAGGATCAATGCAAGACTCGGATGCTAACTCAGGACAGTGAATACATCCCAGCGGCGTCTGGACACTGCATCTGCCGGAAGCTCAATGTACAGCTTGTGGACAACCTTTTGTTGCCTCGGTGTCGCAAATATCGGGCCTCCGCACTGGGGTGTGGAACACGAAACAGAACAAACAATATTGAAACCTGATCAAGAAACTTTGGGCTTCATTAGGGATCGTTACATGGATCCTAATATTCTGGTGTTACAGGACCACGGTTTCTTGATCAGGTTCCTACACTACGTAAAACAATACTGAGCTCACTTGCAATGTCTGCTTGGCCGCCATCTCGACGTGTCAAGCTGAGCTCGCAATAAACTTAGAAAAGTGCGTCAGCATTCCCGGCATTCCCTTATGCATAGATTTGGGTCGGATTATGTAGGGCCACATCCTGGGGGGTGGAGGGGCCTGCGCAAACCCAGTGTAGGCCCGAACCGCCCATACATGCCACTGCTGCAGTCCGCCTTCCTGCAGTGCAGTTGAGATGCACTGACTCGTCTGCAGCGTAGGTTGTGAGGTGTTTTTCCAGGTGTGGCCGCTCTTCACTGCCACGACACCGCAATCACCTCAAGGAAGGAACTTTACTTCTTTGCGAGTGCTGAGCAACTGCTAGAATGAGGTGGTCACCTTATGAAGCCCTTGATCAACGAAAAGCCGCAGGATCTCATACTTCGAGATGCATGCGGGCACCGTCACCTCCGCCTGCATAAGCTAGCATCTTTACTTGCCTGGTCCAAGCAGTCAGCCTCATTGGGGTACTCATTTGGGGGTCTCCGAAAATAGGGGACCCTAATATAGTACCGTAAATAGTAGGATCCTGATTATAAGGACCCCAAATTCAGGTACCCCTTATTGTTGGAAACTCCCATTTGAGAACTACGTCCCTTGGCTCTTTCCGGCAATACGACTCAGACCGTGGAAAAGCCAAAGTCCCAGTGGCCGGCAAGTTCTTGGAAGATCTCATCCTGATTGCAGGGAAAGGCTTCGTAGGTTTAAGGCTGCCTCGTCGGTTTTTGGTTTGCACTGAACCCAAAAAAAACTACAGCTCGAGGCTCCTTCAGAAGTTCCTCTTTCGACTTAGTTCCCTTGCACTTCTCAATCCTCAATTCGGCTACGGCCCACCACGGACTCCCTTCTGCACTTCTCTATTCTCAAGTCGGCCATGCTCTCGGAAACGACACGGGCATGTGGAAATACGGCACTGGTCACTACATGCATCTTGCGAGGCCAGTGGCAGGCAAGCACTCAGTTACGCTTCCGCATGCCCTAGACAGCACGGGCAGGAATCTGAAGGTCCAGATTAGCTGTCTACAAACAGCCACTAATTCCAGACAAGCGTCGAGGACTTTTGCCGCCTCGGGAAGGAACAGAAATCAACAGATCTCGCACTTGCTGCCTTGGCTTAGGCTCACATCGTTGTGCGGTCAAGCTGCGCTGGAGACTTCCTGAAACAGCGACCCGCGAGACTCAGGAGCAAAGGAAAGCGATTGCACAAGGACGTGCCCGCATCAGGTGAGTCGGTTTTGGGAAGCCGTGGCCCTGAAGAGGACCCAGTCTGGCCTGACCGCCGGACGATGTCTTTGCCACGACGTCCGCCTCTCACTGGAGAGCACTGAGTAACCCGAAGCTAATTTTGAGGCCTGCTTTGGTGGGTTCCAAGTCGACGGGGTGCGCTGCTGGGGTTTATGCGCGGAGGACAGGGCGAGGACACCTGCTTGCACCCTGTTCTTAGACGTGTGTTGATCGGAGATCCTGGCCTCGACAGTGGTAGCTTCATCAGCCTTCGATGTGGCCTGCGCCCAAGCTTGGTGCTTGCTGGAAGCCGCAACTTGCAGCGCTTTCTGACATCTCCTAGTAGCTCTCTGTCTCCGCCTGCACCCGACTCTGACCAAACCAAACCCCCATTCTTGCAGTGTGCTGCCACTGAATCTCTTTCGGGTCCTTGCCGTCAGCCAGGATCACTCGCACCGCCTTAAAGGAGGGGCAATGCCCGGTCGACTGTTATCTTCTTTCAGCTGTTGCTGAGCCGATGTCTGCACTGCGAAACAACGGGCTTCTGCTGTCTTCTGGGTTTCCAGCTAGGGCAGCCAGCCATAATTTCAGCAGGCTTTCCATGACGGCGTCTCGACCGGAAACAGCTGCACGCGCAGTATACAAGGTTGTGAGCCCGCAATCCAACACAGTAACATTGTGGAGGGTCCTCCGGCCCGGCCAAGGTAGAGTCCCGTCAACACCAGCACTCACTAGCTAGCTAAATGCACGATGTACCTGCATGCACACTGTGCGTAGCCGTTACCAAGGGCGCAATATTGTCAAGGGACAAAGCGTCCCAGCTCAACTCGCTGTGAGCCGCTTACCGGGTAGCCACATGCTCACGCCTTGTCCACACGACTTGGCACATCTGCTGTGGTCTCAGGCATGCCCTGCTTGCCATAATCAATCGAACCAGTGGCTAGCAGGTACAGAATTATCACGGTTCGGGCTTTGCACTTCTTCCTCCCGGAATGTCGGAAGGCAAGCAGTGCAGCGCAACTTTGTGTGCATTAACTCACTACAGGTCAAGCTCGGCAAGATTCAATCAGACAATGCGTAGAACGGCCTCATGGGCTAAGGAACGGTCTAAATCTAAGTGTCCATAGCTGCCACGACAGCAAACGCTGTGGGTGGAGAAGATATTGCCTCTCCTGCCTTCGTGATGCGGGCAACAACCTGTCATGCACCCCTCCTGCCATGCGCATGCATCATGACAGACCCTGCGCCACCGATTTGTTTCTATGCTCGAGTCGACGAGTAATTATCTAGATGCATCAGGACAAGTGCAGCTCCTTCAACACCTAAACCCCCCAAAGCCAAGAAACCCCTAAAATCCCTAAAACCCAATAGCCTAAGCTACGTCACCCCGAAAGGCCGAAGCCCCACACCCCTAAGACCCGAAAATCCTAATCTGAAACTTCCGAATCAAGCAAGGCCGAAGCCGTCCTCTGCGATAGTTGCTGAGCTCAAGAGCTACGACCGAGGGAACAGGACTGAGAATGATATATTGACAATACTAGTAGTAAGTACTAACAAAGTAAGCAACAACAGAAACGATTCCTACGCTAAATGACCCTCGCAATGGTAGCAGCATCAACATAAGCAGCAAACAGCAGCAGCAACAACAACATCAACAACAACAGCAGCAGCAACAGCAACAGCAACAGCAACAGCAACAGCAACAGCAACAAGCAACAGCAACAGCAACAACAACAACAACAGCCCCTCCCCCCGAAACACCAGCACCAGCACAAGCCCGGCCCCACCCCCACCACCACCACCACCAACAACAACAACAACAACAAACACATACCACACACCACTAGTTGTCATACTAACTACTAACAGTAACAATGATGGTAATAAAAAGCAATAACCTTCAAGAAACTTGTCGTAGCCAGGGCCAGAGCCGCTGTCATAGGAATAGCCATAACTGGCCATAACCATAACCACAGTATAACATAAAGGCCGAGGTAATACAGAGAGAGTAACATGAAGCTTACCATGAAAACTGTGACCATGTCCATAATCACGACAACCACCACCACCACAACCGCAAACACCATCACCACCACAACACCAGGTCACCATCACCGCCGCCGCCGCCACCATCACCACCACCACCAACAACAACAACAACAACGACGACAACGACATTGATAACGACAACGACAAGGACAGCAACGACAGCAACAACAGCAACGACAACGGCAACAACAACCACGACCACAACCAAGTCGCCAAACACCACTTTCAAACTAGGTTGATAATTGCACGAACACTAGCAAAACATCTATGAATGCTGTGGCTGTGATTACAAACCAGGCTTGGCAGTCCTACCTTTCGGTTGTAGAGTGGAAAACGGGTGAAACGCCAGAATCTCACAATCTCACTTGCCGAGCAGATGATGAACGGCCATGCCTTCAAGCCGTGAAACTTCGGCCAACACAAGACGGCAGACTTTGGCATGGAATGTCCCGCTTTTTTCCGTTGCACCTGCTAGCACGAACGGAAACGGTTTCCTGCTGAGCTCGGACAGCGGCGAGCTTAACGCGCGCGAAGGCAATCCACCGTCGAAAGACTGGTCGCCCCGTGACTGAGGTGGCTACTTGACCGCTTTATTTGCTGCAGGACATTGACCTTGGCGCCGGCAGAATCCAGGGGTAAAGCGGGACGCGATATCTCTGCCAGCCGCTAAGGCCCGGTACGGTAAGGCTCAGAAAGAAATGGCATCACATGAAGCTGAAGCTGAATACTTCGAAGTGCTGCGAAACTCATCCTTCGTCTTGGGCTCTGTCTTTCAGCCGGGCAGTGGTCCACCTTGGTCACAAATTCTGTGCAGGACAGAAAAGTATTGAGTTCTTTCATTTTTTGGCTTAAAAGGCCCTAGTTTTGCAGATACTGGCATGGTGAGGCGGCCCCTTGCTCTGCAGCACGCAGCTGATGATGCTCGCAGATCGCTGTGCTGTGCATGATGGGTGCAGGGACGGCTGCCAAAAACCTGCAACAGACTGTGTCAACATGTCCATTTTTCACGGCAATTTCTGTCGATAGCCTCTGGCTCCGCGACTCAGGGCACACCTCCAAGCCGGAAGGTTGGCCCCGAGGGTGTGGCTCATTATCCACACTGTACAAAAGAACTCTCAAACTGAAGGCTGCAAGCCAAGGTTCCACAGCGTCTACTGCATCAGAGCGGGGTTCTCTCACCCTGGCTCCTGGGTACAGTAGTACAAAGTAGCACGTAGTCCTATTATTGTTGCCTCCAACCTCACATTGGGATTCGGTCGCCGAGGCTCGTGAAGTAGTCTTCGATTGTCCAGGGCTTTGGCACCAGAGCTTTGAAGGCTTCCTGGTCGCTCTCTTCGATGGGGTAGCCCACCTTCTCCCAGTACCTGTGCATCGCTACGAAGTCCGGCATCAAGAATCCCATGCTCATGAGGCAGGGTCCCATCACTGGCGTGTACTTCACCTTCGCATCGGTTTTAATCACCTTGGCGTAGACCGAAGCGATCTCTTCACCGCTGAGCTTTTGGCTCGCCAGGTTGATGGTCTTTCCGACAAAGTCGGGCTTGGCGAAACAGGTCGCCACTGCCACCCCCAAGTCCCTGCAGCTCACGTACCACATCTCCATCGCGGAGTTGTTTGCCAAGCCCGTGACGCTTGTCTTCGTCGCTCCGCCATACTCTTTGTCCACAAAGTTGTCCATGAGCGTAACCAGGCGGAGCACCGTCCACTTCAAAGACGACCTGCTCTGCAGGGCGGCTTCGATGTCTTCCTTCACCTTGAAATTCGGCATCGAGTATTGGGCGCCCTGATGGCAGCCGGCGACCGAGCTCATAACCACGTACTCTACAGTTCCACAGGCCTCCAGGAAATCAAGCATGCGGTTTGCCGCGGCGAGCTCCTGACTGCAGCCGCTGCCCTTCGAGAACATGGCCGTCTTCTCGTTCGACATGAGAAAGACATGCGTGGGCTTCGCCTCGGCGATCGCGGCCTTCAGGGGGGAGTCCGGGCTCGAGTCCTCCATGTCGCCGATCACGAGCTTCACACCTTGCTGCTCGAGCTTCTGGGCGGCTGGGGATGTGGAGCTGCGGGTCACGGCATAGACAGTGGCTGTACTGCCGAAGGCGGACAGGATCTCGTGGATGACAGCACTACCCTGCTTGCCGGTAGCGCCGAAGACAAGGATCCTTTTCGACATTTCCCGGAGCGCACCCTTAAAATTGCATCAACTGCTGGCTTGTGCCTGTTGTGGTACATCATGGGTTCCTTTGCTCCCACCCGGAATTTCAGGCACTGGCTCTGTGGCAACTTGAGGCTTCGGGAAAATGCTTGGGCAGCCCAGCCTACTCCCCGCGGAGGACGCCTGTGAGATGGCCAGCATGGCCTCGCAGGCACGCGCACTTCGCATTCGAGCACACGGATCTACGACGTGACCTGCGAAGATCTCCACGAGTATACGGCTTTGAAACGACATCCTCTGGTGGCCTTCTCCGACATATCCAGGTCAGGGCAATGCGACAAAGTCCGGACCAGAGGCCGCGCGTTCTGAGCAAGGCAGAGTTGCGAGTGGCAAACAAGCAAGACCGCATTCACAGAACATCGAATTTGCTAGCTGATGTCCAACAAGTCTGCGTGTAAACCTAGGGAAGGAACGTCCGCGCTCGCTTTCAACTCCAGGCCCTCTGTGAACTCCTCGTGCAATGCCTGGCGTTGGAGACGGCGTTGTCTGCCTAGCTATAGCACTGCCGCGCATCACGCCCAGACGGACCAGTACTGCTGATGTAAGATCTGGTATCGGGTCAAAACGAAGGAGGGGGGGACCTTTCAAGACGTATAGACAGCATTCCTATCGCAACCGCGAACTTGCATGCCATGGCATGGTGATGTGCGCACGCTCTTCTCACAAAGTGGAAGCTGCTGTCTGCAAGGAAGCCTTTATCTTCTCAAGAATGCCGGACCTGAGCAGGCAACTAAATTGACATGCTCAGCCGACAAAGTCAAGTGGGAATTCCACAAACTGCTGACTTTCCCGAAATTCGCGGATTCGGATGCAAAGCGTGCCCGTTGTTGCAGAGGAACCATTCCCGCACGGCCAGAAACCTCCAACAGGTCCGAGCTTTCGACATCAGTTGAATCTAAGCTCCCTGCTCCTCTGGGTACCAGGCCTCTGCCAACATATCTGGAAGTACTTGCAAAGAGAAGCGCAATGAGCCATGATCGCCCAGCTAGTCGTCGCTCTGGCACAATAAGGGACCCTGATACAAACCTGAAAGCCTTAAAGTACGGTTGATGATACAAATCCTGCATTACCCATAATCAGGAATGTACCATAATTCCCATAGCTTAGGGCCCTTAAAGTAATGTAGGATTTAGATCATCAACCGTAGTAAGGCGCGGACCTCCAGCGCTGCTTTGCAGCTCTGGTTCCTCAGAGGGCTGAGCTCAGTCTAAGCGAGGCCGAGCTGTGGACACATCACATTTTTGCTTCTCAGGTTTGGGTACCTACAACCCGGAAAAAACCTGGGAGATTGAGCTATGGACTCGATCTGATGCTCCAAGATGTCGAACCAGCCGAGGTCGCGAACACACCTCATATCTCACGCTCTCACATAACAAGCCACGACCATGTCGCTTGTCATGGGCTGTCGGATGAGCCCCACACTTCTCTCCTGCAACACAGGCCCGGACCAAATCGGATTGAGAGGCAAGGCGTAGTTCTCCTCGACCTGAGAATTCCGAAGCTCAGATCTTCAGTCAACGTTCCGAGCTCGGCCCGACTGAGAGAGCCCGCTGGTCGTTTTGCGGGGCTATGGCCTGGCTAGACTGGTGGAGGACTACTTGGCGAAGCCGTCGCCAGATTTGAGAATGTCTTGTCGCCGCCAGCAAAGCTTTCGCGACTGTCTTCCTGGGATAAGGATCCTCCGTCGGAAGCTCGCTCTTAATGGGCGGGGCTTCTTTCACACCCCGGAAAGGCTCCTCGGGCTCACTTTTTTCGTGCCCTGTAAGTTTAGATCCTCAGGGTTTAGGGGTCTAGAGTCTGGGGCCAAAGGAACAGAAGAATCTTGACGGGGGCAAAAAGCTACCTAACCGGCCGCACAAGGCTTTTTTGGGGCCCTGGGTTTGGGGGTCTAAGGCCGAAGGAACAAAATAATAAAGAGACATGAGACAGAGAGAGAAAGACAGAGACACAGAAGTACCGGGAAAGGAAGAGAGGGTGACAGAGGACAGAGGGAAAGACAGAGAGAGAGAGAGGGAAAGAGACAAAACGAGAGACGGAGGGAAACCAAGAGGGACGGGGGGAAAGCAGAAGTGAGAGAATGAAGACAAAGAGGAAGAGAGCAAGAGAGAATGAGAGACAGAGAAACAGAGCGACAGACAAAGAGAGTGAGGGAGAGACAGAGAGGAAAAGGGCAGGGCGAAGAAGAAAGCAGGAAAAGGGCCGGGTAAAGGAAGCGAGACACTGCAACGAAGGGCAGCGGAAAGGACTGGAAGGGCAAGAAAGGGAAGGGAAAGGAAAGGAGAGATAGGGGAGGGGAGGGCAACGGAGAGGGACGAGAACAACGTGAGCGTGGAGAGGCAGTCTGCCAAAGGCCACCGAGCCGGGAGCCCCCGAAGGGCAGGAGGCCCGCGAGGGCAAGGAGCCTGTCACAAGGGCACAATGCCCACCAGAGATCAAGGAGCAAACCGCTCACAAGAAATTAGAGAGTTTGAGAACAAAGAGCAAACCAAGCGCAAGAGACTAGAGAATTAGATAAAACGAGCAAGCCGCTCGGAAAAAACACGGAAAGCTTGAGAACAGAAGACGCAAACCGCTCGAAGGAGACTAAACAAATTTGTGAGCAAGGAGCACACCGCTCAAAAAGGACCAGAGAATTTGATAGAAAGGACCCAGCGGCTCAAAAGAAACTAGAGAAATTGAAAACTCGGAGCTAACCGCTCGAAAGAAACTACAGGGTTTGAGAAGAAGGAGCAAACCTCTCGAAAGAGACTAGAGATTTTGAGAACAAAGGGCACACCAAGCGAAAGAAACTAGTTAATGTAAGAAAGAAGGAGCAAACCGATCGAACAACACTAGACAACTTGAGAACACAAAGAGCAAACTGCTGGATTGAGGCTAGAGAATTTGAGACCAAGGAGCAAACCGATCGAAACGACTGGAGAACTTGAGAACAAGGAGAAATGCCGCTCGAGGAACTAGAGAATTTCAGAACAAGGAGCAAACCGCTCGACAGAGACCAGAGAAGTTGAGAACAGGGAGCAAACCGCTCGAAAGATGTTCGAAATTTTGAGACAAAAGAGCAGAAAGCTCGAGAAACATAATTTCATAAAAAAACCCTAACAAACCTAGACAATTTGAGAACAGGGAGCAAACCGTTCGAAAGAGACTAGAGGGTTTGAGACCAAGCAGCAAACCGCTCCAAGTCGCTCGAAAGCGACAGAAGCCGAAGACAACCGCGAAAGAGACTAGAGAGTTCGAGAACAAAGAGCAAAGCAAGAAGCAAGCGACAGAGACTAGCGAAAGGAACAGAGGAATTTGAGAAAAGGAAGCCGATCGCATGCACAAGACCAGAGAATTTGAGAACAAGGAACAGAACGCTCGAAAGGGACTAGAGAGTTTGAGAAAACGGGGGCAAGCCGCTCGAAAGAGACTAAAGATATTGAAACAAAGGAGCTAGCAGCTCGAAAAGTGACTAGCACATTTCGAAAGAGACCAGAGGAATTGAATCAAGGAGCAAGCCGCTCCAAAAAGAACTGTAGAATTTCAGAGGAGCAAACCGCTGCTCGAAGGAGACTAAAGAGAATTTCGAAAGACACTACAGGGTTTGGAAACAAGGGGCAAACCGCTCGAAAGAAACTAGAGAATCAGAAGAAGGAGCAAACCGCTCGAAAGAGACTAGAGAATTTCGAAAGAAGTTGATAACTAGGAGCAAACCGCTCGAAAGGAACTAGAGAATTTCAAAACAAGGAGAAAACCGCTCCACAGAGATTACAGAAATTGAAAACAAGGAGCCAACCGCTCGAAAGGAACCGGAGTTTCAGAAGAAGGAGCAAACCGCTCGAAAGAGACTAGATAATTTCGAGAGAGACGTGAGAAATTGAAAACAAGGAGCAAACCGCTCACAACGAACTAGAGACATTCAGAACAACACGCAAACCGCTGGAAAGGAACTAGAGCTGCGGGCACGGTGCCAAAAAAACTCAGCCCGTTCTGCTGGGAAGGAGTTCGCATCCTCTGCAACGCAGTTGCATCATGGCCAAAGCTTGCTAAACTTCTGGCCGGGGGGCCCCTGGTCCTCTCGTATTTCCCTAAGGAGAATACCAGAGGAAATACGAGCAACGTACGAGAGGTCTAGGAAATACGAGAGGAAAATACGGGCGGCCCCGGCCGGCGCCCGAGCGCGTGTTTTTTCTTGTATTGCCCGCTGCTGCTGGATTGCCTCTCGTATTTCCTCTTGTATTCCCTCTCGTATTCATTTCGTATTTGGATCGTATTTCAATTAATTTTGATGCCTGCCAGTCGTTCCGGAACATGCCCCTCACAATGCTAGAGTCGGGCTCCAGGCACGCTCCGTGAGGAAATCGCGGAGCTCGTCCTTCCAGGCTTCGGAGTCGCGCTCCATACGATACGATGGGACCTGTCGAACCCGTAAACTTGAGCTGATCCGCTTCAGAAGTCAATTGCTTCTATTAAAAAACAAAATAGTTCTTACCACAACGATTGTTCCAGCAAAACAACTGTTCTTAAACACACTATTTAGTTGTGTTTCGGAGAAAACCAAATCACAAGCCCTCATGTCTTTCTTGCGGAGTCCTCATCCATGTAGGCCCAGGGCCTCGGCTGGGGCATAGGAAAAAGTGGTGCTGTAGCGATTGGACCCCATGTTTGAAACTCTTAACTTAAGGGATTTAGGGCTTATAGGGTTTCACTCACACTCGGACGAACCTAGGCGAGGCTTCTGGGGTTTAGGGCTGAAGACCCGGCCCAAACTCCTGGATGTATGGTTCTGAAGTAGAATAGGGGTGGTGGGGTATATTATACTATAGTTATAGTCCGGAACCCCCAAAATGGTAGAATAATTACCTATACTATTCATAGAGCTCCAAGGACAGGAGTCCCACGATGGCCCTTCGCCAGGCAATCCGAGCATTTGCCAAGGCCCTGACTTGCCATCGATGTCGTGGAAGCCTTCCCATACCTCAGTCTGTGAGAACTGAGGCGATCGAGGAATTCTGCGACATCGTTCTCTGGGGTGTCCTTTGCCTATAAAGCAACCTGGTGCCGTCGCCCCGAACTTCTTTCGTGCTGCAACACCTACAATCTGCCGACTCTCCATGCCCCGTGCCATTTGTTCGTGCACTGAGACTCGAGCAACGAGGAAGTTGGTGTCCAACTCCTCGAGAGCTCCCAGAGAATCGGCTTTCTGTGGTTCTGGTGTCTTTGTCATGGAACTTCCGTTCCACAACAAGGGAAAACTACTGCTCGCTGAAGTTTACTGTATATATATATGCCCCTACAGAGTCTCGCTTTGATGTCAGCCTTCGTTTCGGATGCCACACTAATGCCACAGCATCAGAACCCCACTTGGACAAACATGTGAAACATGAAGCCAGCCTGAGGGAAGTAGAAGTTGAAGCACTCTGCGCCATGACGGATGGCACCGGATTCTTTTGTGGTGTTGATCACCTCCTGCGGATTTGGATAAGGCTTTCTCGAGAGGCGGTTGCGCTAGGAATACAAAGCCCGCCGGATAGCTGCTCGTGTAGGCAAGGCCGTCACATTATGCAATTAGATCGCCCATGCGCGGCATTCTAGGCTTGTAGGCGGGTCGACAGCAGTAGTAGGGAAACTGCATGATGGTGCTGGCTGTCAACAACACTCAGCTCCAACTATCGAGTGTGTGCGTTGTTCAGCTCGCACCTGAGTAGTAGTTTCCCACAAGGGGATGCTTGCATTTTGACCAGGTTTCTGGTTGGCAAATTTCTGTGGGCGCGGTTTCGCTAGGCTCGACGTGGTGGAAATGTGACGGTGCTCACTCACAGTTTTTGCGTCCGGGTACAAAAGGCTGCGTCTCGTTGCCGCATCAGGAGCCGTCAGCAGTCAGGTGTTCTGCATTCTCAAGTTAGAATACTTGTAATATGTATATATAAAGACACATAGTTATACATATATATATATATATAGACGTATGTATGTAGCATATATGTATGTATATATATATACATATATTTATTTACATATGCTTATACATATATATATATATGTACATACATACACACACACACATACATACGTACGTACATACATACATACATACATACATACATACATACATAAATATATATCTATATATATATATACATATACATATTTGCATATACAGATTTATCTATCTATCTACTTGTTTATCTCTTTATACATCCCTCTGTCTCTCTCTCTCTCTCGCTATCTCCGTCTCTTGTGAAGCTCGCGCTTTCGTGAGTAGCGACGGCTACATGACCTGACCGTGGCCTCGATCAAGCGATAAGATGTCGCATCCTTGGTGATGGAGGTGCTCCAAAACGTAGGATTAAGGCACTGAGAGGTTTCGGTGCGCAACTTACTGTGATCAAGTACAGCTACGTCTGGAGTGCGGGGTTGAGGAAAGTGGCGTTGCTAGCCGGCAAGGAATGCCTGTACATGTCCAGACACTTGGATAGACTGCGCAAGGCCTCCGGCATTGAATAGGGCGAGATGCTTAAGATAGCGCCCCTAAGGGCTTACAGGCACGGACACAGCGGGAATCGGGATTGGCTAGACTCGCATTGGCGCTCCATTTTGCAGCCGTATCCGTCAGGCCCTTCGAAGGTCAAGTCCCGCTGTCCTGCGGCAAGGACGCTTCCTACCTTCAGTGCCACACAACTCGTCAATGTCCATGAAGGAGCTGAGAAGGGACAGGCTGCAGCAAAAGCATCCCTGTCGCAGTCGAGCGAATCACTATTTCAATGTCAGTACTTAAAGGATCAGGGGTATGGCTACAAACTGGGTAACTGGGGCCTCTCACGAAACTTTAAGTATTTGGTTTCATCAGAATTCAACAACCTTAGTTGAATGATGTCGAATGTTCACGGACGGCCTCGGCAAAGTGCCTGGCCCGCTGTGGCCTTCGCGCCGCCCATCCAATGCCTCAAGGAACTCAGCTTGTCGGCAGAATGCTAGGAACTATGCCGGATCCTGGAAACCGATGAAAGTTAAAACCGCAGAGTGTCTCTTTGACATCACCTGCCCCTGACGAGCTGTCCAAACAACTACAGGGTGACTCAGCCGGGGCCGCCGTAGCATGAAGCAGAGTTCTACTTTAATCTTGCTTTCATGCTCAGCTGCATGATCTCGGTGGTTTCGTCGGTGATGTGGGCCTCGCCACCTGTGCCAAACTATCCAGGGAGCTTGCTTCGGAATCGTCATTTCAAGGTTTGGCCCTTCTCGTACAAAGAATCGATGGTTCTGAACCTACCCCTTGTTCTTAGGGGCTTGGGATGTCCCAGGTTTGGGTCCTGGGGATTTTAGAGTCCATCCTGGCTGCTTCTTCATAATAATATTAACAATAATATCAATATTAATAGTAATAATAATTGTAGTAGTAACAATAATAATAGTAATAATAATTTAATAATATTGGCAGCAAGAGCCCATGTTGCTTTCTGGCCTCTCTCGGCTCCCCGGTTGTACTTCTTCCCACTGGCCATGATGACCTGCCGGTATAAGGCATAAGGAGTTTCAGCACTCACAACTGGGACAAGCCGGGCGAGGTGAGTTTAGGATTTCGAAGCTTTCGGATTCGAGTTGAGGGCAATTTCGTGCAAGTCCTGTGGCTCGCACTCGCCGCACTTGAAATCAAAGCTCGGAAATACCGCATGTACATCTTTGGACGCTGGGTTTCAGCCTGTCCTCCAACCTTGAAAGCACAGTGACTTCAAGGCTCTCAGACAGCCACCTTGGAAGTAAAATGCTGAGTGTCGCCATAGTACAGGTCATTGAGACAAATCTGCTCGTTGCCTTGCATGATCAAGCGCACTTTTTGGAGAGATGAAGCCAAGGAACGGTAATGTCCTACGTCAGCGCAAAGTATTGCAGGCCCGAAGCACTCTGTGAAATGCACATGATTCAAAAGCCGGGGTGTATGTGCAAAGCAGAGTTAACTAGAATGAATAGCAACCATGCTACAGCAACCTGTCAGTGTGGGTCCCCAAAGTAGCATCTTTGCCCGAGCACGACCGTTTGTGAGTCACCGGCAAAATGTGGATTCACCAAGCGTCTGGTGCACCGGATCACGGGCGTGCCGATGCGCGCCTCTGGAGTTCCATTCGTATTCGTAGATGTTCGAAACGGCTTCAAGGATTTCCTTCCCTGCAGAAATAGGCCATCTCTGCGACTCGGGCGAGAATCCTCTCAAGCTTGGTTACGCGAAGGCATCACCAACCTTCTTCAGCAGCTTGTACCCGGCAACGTGGGCGTCGAAGGTGTCTTGGAACAAGTTCTGCCTAGGAGGGGACAAGATCCGCAGAGCCATCGCGGTCAACTCCGACTTTGTGTGCAAGAAGACTGACGTCTCGACGACTGCTTGCCAAAGTGCGTAAACTGCGTGTTCTTCGCCAGCATCAACCCGCCGTTGATGCGCGCCTCGCCATTCTGGTCCAACCAGTCCTGCCGAACTCAGGCCCTGAAAGCCCTGCCCAAGGCAGAATAAGTTCTGGATTTCACTACAGTATAGCATAGTATAGTGGACTATACTTTATGATGCTATTCTCTCTCTCTCTCTATACATATATATATATAACACATGCTATTGGTATGATCTGATATTTTATACTTTTCCGGCACCTCGTTGGTCAGGAAGAGATCTTTGCCCTTCCGGTCCTGCAGTTCCAGACCACTACTTGGAGGTTCATGGGTAGTTACCAGTGGGGTTATAAGTCCCCTAATTTCGGTTATGACTATAGTTACCCTACTTATAACCCCACTTGTAACGACCCATGAACCTCCAATTAACGTCCCCCAACAAAATGCAGCCAATGTTCGACCCGTCTCTGCGCGAAAGAGGCAGGAACTGGATTCACAAACTACTGCCCAGCGTGGTCTGGCCAACCCCAGAGCATCTCTCCAATGTCAAGAAGCACAGGAACACTTGGACTAGTCACTAAAGCTTTCACAGCGTCCAAGATGTCGGCGATGCGGTGCAAGGTGTTAAGCTGCGGCTGGATCAGCGCAGCGTCGGCGTCCAGCATGAGTACCTGGCGAGACGGTCGCTGAAGGCCCTGCAGTTGGGACCTGGCTTTTGCTTCTGTGGCTTTGATAGGAACTCCCTGCCGCGGCTTAGCGTTCCCGCCCCGGGGCACGTGGGTGAAAGCTTGTGGGCTCAAAAGGTAGTCCTGCATCATCAAATGCTTCTCCCAGTTGTACGTCCTCAGCGACTGGCACAAAACTTGTCTCGGGACCGGGGCCCAATTTTTTTTCGACAGAGCTCTGAGGTGCCCAGCCGTAAAAGCTGAGACACGAAGTGGCGGATTCGAACGCGAAGGTAACTGAGTCTGAGTGCACCCAGGGTTCTCTCGCTCATTGACCTTTGCGCAAACGCGCAAGGACTTTTTGCCACAGTCGCTGATCATCCAATCCTCGCTGCAAAACATACTTCATGCTGTATCATGACCGTACACTAGCCAGCATGTACACTGTCGTCCAGATTCGGTTCTTGGTCCCTGAGTCCTAGAAACATCTCGAAACAAGAGTTCGAGCTCACCTTCAGCATGCGCGCCAAGACGCTGTGAGCTGCGGCTCGGTCGGATGAGCCTTGGCTTGAGCCGCATAAGTTTCGCAAAGCTTCGGTACGGCCTCTGTGAAAGTCTACAGCCAATGACTGCTCTCGTGCCTGCTGTTTGGCGACAGGCTTCCGATATTTTGTTTTCATCACGGGCTGACCTTCTTAGGCCAGGCCGCGCGAAGCACCATGGCGTGGCCGTGCTTCTTCGCGTGGGCCCGATTCGTGGCCTCGGCGAGATCGCACAGCCAACTCTCTGAAGCGGCAGGAAGAGGGAAACACAATTACGGTGCACGGTTGGACCACTGGGAATTGTGAAGATCTACCGATGCAAACCGAAACAGCACACGAGCATGCCGCCTGCAAGGATTTGATGTTCATCGTCTATATGTTGTCTACTCCACATAAAATCCCGTTCGGCTGCCTCGATAGCCCTAGAATGCTAGAACCGATGCTGTTTGCGTACCCATGGTGCCAAGATCGCTCGGAGCCAGTCAGGTCTGTCTTCGAGACGTTGCGCATCCTGGCCGAGCACGCGCGGTTTAGCATCCACCCAGAAGTGGTTCTGGAATTCTTAATCATGATTCATACTACTTACGGGACTTACAGGCTTCACCTCCCAGTTCATGGGTGTTGACACTGCCCTTGGGTTCAGTGACATTTTGTCGCAAGACGCCGTGGGGTCTGCGACTCCTGCTTTAAAGGGCACGGCCTGAGAGAGATCCGGTTGTTTGGCTGAGACGGCTCTGCCAGACCAGTGCAGTCCTTGTTGTTGCCCCAGGTGGCGTGCGAATCGCTCAGGACTGCCTTCAGAGTCAAAGCCGACTTCTCACGCCCACACAGCACACACCAACGCAGCGCGGCCCACTTAGAAAATCCCAACACGGCCTCCCCCTGCGCAGGTCAGAATCTGTGCTGCCAATTCCGCGAGGCTGCATTGGGCCTGGCCTGGAGAATGACGATGCCGCCGTGCTCCTCTGGTCGAGCATCGATGACCTCTGAATCAATGACAATGATGCGTCGGCGGCAGATCTGTACATCGAGGTTGCACCACAGTCGGGGCATGGGTTTGTCAAATGTGCTTGCAAAGATCTGCCTCTCCTGTCGCTCCCATGTATCAAACCCTAAGCCCTAAAACCTAAAATGGACTAGACGCGTCGACCACTTGAAACTCTCAATTCCGACTGCCAAGCTGCTAACGCATCTTTCCGCGCCAGCCACTGAGGCCTTTGCCCTGGCCTCAGCGATGTTTCACGCGGTGTGCGTGCAGCCTTGCAAGCAAAACACAGGTTTTACTGAAAAAACACATCCCTCTTCATGGAGGATCACCATACCCTTTTTTGGAGTACTGCATCTGTTTTCGGGGGTCCTAACTTGAAGACTGCTTTCTAGTAGCGAAACCCTAATCCACCCCTAAGCCCTAAATTTTGAAGCCTACACCCTATACACCCTAAACCCTGCCCTACACCCTAAACTTTGGATCCTTTCTGCTTGGTCACGCGATGGGAAGCCCGGCAAAAGGATCCGCCGGGGGCGCCGTGGGCGGCTCCATGGGGAGGCCCGGAGCCCGGGGAACCTGGGCCTTGAAGACCTCGGCTTTTTCGCGGGGGGTTTAGGGATATAGGGTTTAGGGTTTAGGGGTTTAGGGTTTAGGGTTTAGGGGGTGCTTAGGGCGCTGAGGGGTTTTGGCGGCTTCGACTCGCACGCTCTCGCAGAATGTAGAATGACTAAGCTGCTACTCAGC